CTCCCTTCTCCCTCCCTCCCTCTCTCCCTCTCTGTCTCTGGATCCCCTGGCACACCCCCCTCCCGCACCCCGTTCCCACCCCATTCCCTGCCTGAGCCTTCCCAGGAGGTTCCGTTTCCTCCTCGCTTCTGCTCCGTGCCGGACCAACCTGGGCGGCAGCCCGGCCTGGTCCTCCCCGCCCTCTCCTCGCGCCCAGACCGGGATAAAGCTCGGCTCTACCTGTGGGGCCCGGGGCGCAGGCGGCGAGGGCCAGGCTGAGCAGCAGCGCGGCCCGCGGGGCGGAGGTGAGGCTCAGGGAGTCCATGCCGCTGGGGGCACTGCGGCCGGCGGGCAGGTGTGCGGGGCGCCAGGTGTCCTGCGTATGCTCTTGCGGCGGTGAGATGACACCCTGCTCCCAGAGCTGCAGAGCTTCTGCTCCGAGTTTGGGGGAGCTGAGGGGCGGAGCCAAGGAGAGCTCCCCTGTCAGCAGCTGGCACCTGGCTGGGAGGGAGAGCAAGCAAACCAAGCTGGCTGTCGGAGGAAAGGGGGAGCCCGCCCTTCCTCCTGGGCAGAACTTGTCCCCACTGGGAAAAGAGCAGAGCGAGTCCTTGAGGACGCGTCTGCCGCCTCTTTCACGTGCAGGGGAGTCTGGCTGTCGCTGCGCCCAGTCCAGCAGCCACGGAGCACCTGCTTGCGCGCCGCGCTTGGACAGTCCACCGAATCCTGCGCTCTAACTGCTCTAGCCGGCTCCCAAAGCAGCGTTTGGGGATTGACTCTGGGACAAGGTGCCCTGGGCTTGCCGCAGGAGGCCACCTCTGCTGTAGGATGCTTCGGATAGAAAACAGCATTAGAGTTGAGCCGGGTGGATGGATAGGGCTTTGACAGGTGGAGAGAAGAGGGCGTCCTGAGTCGGAAGGGTGAGAGCACAGAAGCCCAGAGGGCCGCTGGGCTCCGCGGTGCACTGCGAGCCCAGCACAGAGAAGCAGAGGTGAGCCCAGGAGCCCGAGCGGGGAGGAGAGTGCAGAGCCGGCTGGGGGCGGGAGGCCGCCTCCAGTGCTGGGTGTATGAAGCCACCCAGAGGCAAAGGGGAGGCTTCAGGAAGATTTCGAGCTGAGTGACAATTGCACTAGAGCTCTGCTTCTGGTCTCCATTTCCAGTGGTGTCCCCATGGGGCATCTTCCAAGCCTGGATAGTACCGAATCCTAGAAATACTAGGTTTTCCCCCCATGGAAATGCATTCCTATCATAAAGCTTCAATTTACAAATTAGTGACAGGGAGGGGTTCACAGCATAACTAATAGCAAAACGGAGCAATTATAAGCAAATGCTCTAATAAGTGTTATTTAAAACTTTTGGGCCATTTCTGGAATTTTCCATTCAGTGTTTTGGATTGGCACTGGCTGCAGGTATCTGAAGGTACAGGAAGTACAATAGTAGTAAGGAGAGCGCAGCAGGGTGTTGAAGGTTCCTTGGGTCCAGAAGACATCAGCCTCGGCCTGTGAGGCTCGCAGAGGCCTGAGGCATGGTCTCTGCCCTTCAGGACACCGTAGTGCACCCAGGGGACCAAGTAGGGTGAAAAGAATTTTGCTGTATTTGGCAAGACTGGAATATCGGTGTCCAGGTATCTCCCATAGTTATGGGAATATAGAAGAGAGAATGATGAACTTTGCTGAGAGGTGGAAGAAGGGAACTTAGTGGATGTGACTTCAGGCTGGGCACTGAAGTGTGTATGTGCAGACGGGATGTCTCAACTTAGTTGCTTTGGAGCTGTCCAGGAGAGCGGTAAAGCACACCTGTGTGGGAGTAAGAGGCACAGCCTTGAGTACTGTGTCTGGACCCTGGTCCCCTCTTCTCTGCCATGGTTCCCCTGCTCTGCTTCTGGGGTGCCGTGAACTAAGCATCTAAGCTCTGTCATGCCCTGCTGTCATGATGTTTTTGCTTTGGCATCAACCAACCATGGACTAAATTCCCTGAAACTGTGAGTCTGACCTGTCTTTCAGTTGTGCGCCTTGGACATTATGTCCCAGTCACAGGAAGTCCGACTAATACAGGTCTGAGAAGAGAGTGAGCGGCAGGGTCCAGCCTTCGTAGCTCTGGAAGAACGAGCCAGCCACAGATAAGGCCAGAGTAGGGAGCTCCTATGGTAGTATGGCAGTGGGCAGAGGCATTTTCTTCTGGTCTTCCCAGAGGCACAAAGTGGGGCTGACTCACCATTTCAGGACTTGGGGGTGCAGCAGAGGTACTTTAGGATGGGGTTCCAGGCCATGCACAAAAGTCTAGTGCAAGCCCGCCACTACTCAGACATTCACCAATGCCCAAGGAGCCACTGCACTCCAAGCCCTCAGAGCAGAGACTCCGGGATGAGTGTCACATATGGTCCCTGGCTGCCAAGATCTAAGAGTCCAGCAAGGATGAGTTGGACATTAAATAAGGACAGTGCAGTGAAACCAGAGTGTTGAGGCGATCTCTCTGCAAAGATTGGGAAAATCGCAGAAGGGTCTGGGGACGAGGGACCTCAGAGCATTTCACAATGGAGATGGTATTTATCAGACCGAAAACATGAAACATGTGTAGCTCACCAGGCACAGAAGGAAGCAGTGCACATGGGCCTCTGAGGCAGGAACATGTGTTTTGGGGCTGGAAGGAGCGGGTGATTTTCTTCCTGAAAGCGAGAGTTCCCAAGTGCCAGAGAAGGGCAACAGCACTTATCTTATGTTTGAGGTGGTGTGTGTGCAGCACTTGGGCAGAGAGGGGCACATCTGTGTTTCAGGAACAAGGGAAACAGGCGTGTGGGCAGGAGATCATTGAAGAAGCTACTGTAAAAGCCCTGCTGGACATCTCCAGGGGCTGGGAACAGCGGGCTGGCTTGAGGATAGGGAAGAAGGGAATGGTGTCAGCGGACATTTAGAGAGCAATTCTAGGGGGATCTATGAAAAGGCCCCTAGGAAGGGGCCAGGGAGTCTAGGGTGACCTTGGGGCCTGTCTAGGTTTGACTTCCAGCCCCGCCTTTTCTTGGCTGGGTAGCCCTGGACATGTTACTTAGTGCTGCAAGCCTCACTTCCTTTACCTGAAAGGTGCTGGGATAACAGCCTTGATGACCAAGTGGACACTCTATGCACAGTACTAAGCACAGGTGCTTGGTACTCTGCGGAGGCTAACCACCATGGCTGTGAGCACGCGACACCAGACACATGGGGGGCCAAGAGTGCTGTCTATGTATTGATAGGTGTACGTCCAGCCTTGTGCCACAAAGGGTTTGAGGAGGCTCAGCTATTATAATTGAAGTAGGTATAATGAATTTAAATTAAAAATTAATGAGAAGAGATGAAACAGTGGGTGGGAGATCGAAGTGGGTTTGCATAGAGGGCATAGCATGAGGCGTCCTAGTTCCTGAGCTTTCTGCTAGCCAGGATGAAGAGGGTAGCACGGCCATGCAGGGGGTTCTTGTGCTCAGAAGATGAAAACAGCAGCATCACTGCTCTGTGTGTGTGTGTGTGTGTGTGTGTGTGTGTGTGTGTGTGTGTGTGTATGTAGTGGGCACTGAACTCAGGAAGCACTGAGGTACATCTCCAGTGCTTTAAAATATTTTTTCCCCTCTGGAAAAAGAGAACAAGGCCTTGCTAACTTATCCAGGCTGGTCTCAAACTTGCAATCTTCCTGCTTAGGCCTCCCACATAACTGAGTTTACCACACACGCCTCCACAGCTCTTGATCCTATTAAATGAAATAATTAGAGGAGGCCATTATTTTGGACCAGGTTCTGGCCCAAAGGCCCAAGAGACCAGACTAAAAATCAAAATGATATCACCAAATGGAAATAAAAGGGTTTATCTGCCTTCAGAGTATGGTGAAACAGAGAGAGACATTGGCCCAGTTTCCCAAACCAGCCGGATTTAATCCACAGGGTAATAATATTTCCTCTGCTTTAATCTTTATCAGAAACGATTAGCTCTGATATTATTTCATTGGTTGTTTTCTAATAGTTCCATTCCCCATCCATGCCTTGCAAGGAAATGAATTTTGGTATGACCCATCTATGCTGTTTCTCATCGCTTCTCTAAAACCAACTCTTGCCAACATGGTGACTCTTGCCTGAAATCCCAGAATTTAGGAGGCTGAGGCAGGAGGATCGTTGTGAGTTCGAGGCCATCCTGAACTACATAGTGAGTTCAAAGTCAGCCTGAACTACATAGCGAGGTCCTGTCCCAGAAACAACAAATAAGTAAGTAAATAGAATAAAACAGAACAAAATAAAATAAAGCCAACTCTTCTGCTTCTGCCTAGCCCATTGGACACTTACTCTGTTTCGGGGAAAGAGATGCTTGTTCTAGTTCCAGAGTCACACATAAACCCAATCAAGGCCTAAATGGTTGTAATTTTGTCCTCTGGCAATACTGAGTCCATAGAAGAATTTTCCTCATGAGCTGGAGCTTTGCTTTCCATGAAAAACATTGAGAGTATGGAGGACATTACTTTAACAGAGCGAGCACCATTCTCAGCATGCAAACCCCACGGTGAATTTCACAGGTCAGACCAATGTATCCACCCCTGTTACCTCTGATGCCACCTAGCTACCGATAAGACTTTCCAAGGTCGCTGGGACATTTGAGGCCTGACAGAAATGTTTTCAGATTCAAAATATGAAGCAGAACAAGAGTAGAAAAAAGCTGGGCCACACAAGTAATTATTTCACAAGCAAAGTTAATTCATTTCCAACACTTAAATGCAAGCCATACAGGAATGGAGGCATTTTAGTGTTGGATGTGGCCAGGGAGATGTCCCACAATTCTCAGTGCCTTACCTGGGGCTACAGCAGGGCTGACAGCCTGCCCTGTCCTAGAGGGGGGAACACTTCTTTGTGTGTGTGTGGGAAGGGTGTTGTCCTGACCCCATCCCTTTCTTCTTACCATTGCCATTCTTACCATTGTCATTTGACTTAGAGTCTGAGATTAGCTGAGACACTATTCTTAGTCCAAAAGAAAGGGCTACAAAGCCAGTCTTAGAAGCGTCCCCACTATTAGCTGTGTGCAGCAGCTCTGCAGTTGAGAGAACAGGGAGCCCATTGGTCGGCTCACCCTGTCACCCTCTCAGACTGCCGGCATCTGGTTTACTTTGGAGGATGTACCAGGAAGTCGTATCTCTCAAAGCTTGATATTCTGCAGGGACTTTCTCAAGATTTTTTTAAATGCTTGAGATAGGTATTTGGTTACACATTAAAGAAGTTGCTGGGTGCAGTCTCAGATGCCTGTGAAAGCCAGCCCTCTGGGAGGCTGAGGCAGGGAGATCACAGATTCAAGTCCACCCTGGGGAAGTTAGAAACTTGATGAGATCTGGTCTCCAAAGATAAAGGGGGGTGGGGTAGAGATGAAGCTGAGTGCAAAGGCCCTGGGTCCCCAGTGCTGAGGAACCAGAAGACAAGTCTAAGGCAGTT